TCTTAACTGATCGCAAATTGGCTTCAACATATGATTTTATTTACCTGGACCCCCCCCCCTAAGTTCATTTTTCATGTGGGGAGACCATATACGTACATTTGGGTCAAGGACAAAAATTGCCCAGTTCCCGCGACTACTGTCACGCTGGCGTAGATATTACACCTCGCTTAGTGCAGCGAGGAAGGTGCAGCCGCAGGGTTGGAATCCCCTGGACCGGCCGTCTTCTCTTTTCTGAAACCAGGAGAACAGAACAGCTTTGACTACGGTCTGAAAACCGAGAAGCGATTTTATTTACCTGATCCTCCACCATAACTACCACGAAGGCAGGTTGTGACACAAAGTCTTGTTTATGTGGAAAGCACATACACGTTTATATAAACCAGGGGCAAAGATTTCCCAGGTTTTTCGAGCACTGTCACGCAAGCGTCAATATTACACCGATATTCGTTGATATTAGTGTAACGAGGAAGGTGCTTCGATCACGGTCCGATGGCTAAAGTTATTTACTCGATTCCCCAAATGTGATATAAGGACTTTTTTTATGTCTTTCGGCCACTACAAGAATTGCCCCGTCCCCGCAAACAGATACCACGTTTTCATCCCCGGTCAAAGGCTGAGAAACGATTTCACCTTATGATTATTAACTTGCGAGTATTTATCAGAAAAAAATGTTCTGGAAATAGGCTCTTGGAGAAGTGATTCAAATTTTATTTTTTTCGTTAAGTTTATCAAAGTTTTCAAGCATTGATTAATTCTTTACTTCCTCTTTTGTGGCTGTTTCTTTCGTTTGTTTTGTTTGATTATTAATAGCATCTAGCAAAAGACTTGCATCAAACGCCATCTTAATCATAATCCTTCCTTTTAAATCAATTCAGAAGTATCACACCTTTCTTCTAAATGACCTATTTAAGCTAAATGGTATCTTAAATGTTAAGTTTGAAACATTCCTGAATACACACACACACACACACACACACACACGCGCGCGCACACACACACTGTGGATGACTATGCTCTCGAAATAATTCGATTGAGCTCTCGGAGAGGAAGGGGTGATTTTAAAAACAATGGCTGCTGTTGCTAATGCAATGCTCTTCTAATCGAATCGAGCTCTCCTATCTACTGACGTCTTTCGCATAGTAAAAACGTTACAATTTCTCTTCCGGTCTATCGTGCGACGATAGCTTGGGGGTAGAATCTCTGACAAATCAGTCGGATTTCGATCCAGGCTTGAGGCAATTGGATGAGCTGTCATACAGCGAAACAGTCTGTCGGTGGATGACTCTCTCTCTCTCTCTCTCTATATATATATATATATATATATATATATATATGATCCTCCCGCAAAATAAATATTTTTAGATGTATTATTCTGCTATAAAAATTTTGTTTTGATTTTTTTAATCATTTCACGCCAATGAAGGCTATTTCACTAAGACGCAAGGTGTTATTGAGAGCAGCAAAAATAAGGTAAGAAAAAAACTCAGAAAACCTAATTGAGGCGAAAGGACAATAAAAGAAAAGAATTCAAGGAGGCAGACGATTACGAATGAAGCTACATTTGAAGATCGTAGTTGACAGGAAAGCAAAACGACAACAGAGAAGTGAGAGCGGAGAAACTATTAGGATAGAACTTACGGTTACATCTAGAAATCTCAACACTAAAATGATCGGAACTAACTGCCAATTTAGTACTAGGCTTAACTTCATGAAGACAATGTACCAAAAGGAGAAAGTTCCTCAGAACATTTGCCATGAAAATATTTATAGAAAATGCACACGGAGTCTATATTACCGCGGTGGGGAAATGATTGGAGGCGTTTTCTATAAAGCCATAATTGAGCAACGTTTTTATTAAAATACGGAGGCGAAAAGGCGACATCTGAAGTTTCTGGGGCACATAAGGAGGAACTGACATGGAGAACATGTTGACGGCAAAGGGGTTACAAGGAACAGCGAGTAATCATCCTATCAAGCTTGTGCAAATGTATGACAGAACAGAGACTAGGAAAAATAGTAAAGAGACAAACATTTCTAAGAGCTACAAAAGATAGGAAGTTGTCGAGAGACATGAACGCCCACATTCCGAATGGACATGGCTCATAAATGAAGAAGAGTTTTAGTAAAAATGATACAGCTAATCACACTAACATTGTCATTGATTGAGGCCAAGATAACAAATTTTGTCTTTTGTATTTCTCAGTTCTATCAAAAAATGTGGGTGAGGATTTAGCCCTCCGCCCCACAAAATTACTGGAGGTGACTTTGCAGAAATATTTTCGAATTTGTTAAAGTATATATTTACTTAAAGACATTGATGGACATTTAGTTTTAGTTCTTTGAGCCTGAAAGATTTGTTTTTAATAATTTCCTAAGTACCCCATTTATCGAAGTCCACCCCATTTATTAGTTTCTCATTTTTTCACTTCTGAAGATTTTGTTATTATTAAGTATTATTCTTTAGTTATTTAGTTACTTATTTGCAAATAAGTAAAAATAAATAAATCTTATATATAAAGTACAGTGTATGTGTGTGTGTGTTTGTGCGTGTGTGTGTCCAAGCAACTCCTACGCCGCTACTGGTCCGATTTCAAGGATTCATACCTCATTCAAAATCCCTAGAAAAGTTAGGCACAGTGAATATATATATATATATATATATATATATATATATATATATATATATATATATATATATATATATATATATAAGAACAGTAAGATATATAATCCGGTGTTCTTATTGATATTTTTATTTTTACAAAATAGTGGTCAATGTAAATTTACAGAGCATTAATATTATAAATTAACTAGTTTAAAATATGGTTAAAACCATATTTTAAACTAGTTAATTTAATATATATATATATATATATATATATATATATATATATATATATATATATATATATATACATAAAGAAGACATTTGGAAAATATATTTCTTAGTCATTGCCGACGAGTTTCGTCAATCCAACTTTATCAAGGCACGTTTAAAAGCAAAATGTTTTTAGTTACATTAAATTCAAATATAAAGGGAACGCTCCTGTGTAAGCCTCCTTCTGGATGTTGGTAACTTCTTTTCTTTTTTTTTTCTTTTTTTTACTAAGAATGTTTTAGTGTTAGATGTCGGCATACTGTTAAATTTCTCAGAATAATTCTGAAGATAAGAAAATTTGGATAAAAAGAAGACAATTGGAAAAATATTTCTTAGTCATTGCCGACGATTATGCGAAGTTAAAAATATATATTAATATATTATACTAGCCATTATCGTTGCTTTCATGCTTCAAGGGGAGTAACTCTTATTTTCTTTTTGTATCCAGAATTAAAATTTTAAGCTAGCTTAAAAGCCACCCTATCGGGCAGCATTTAAGCTAGCTCCTGTTGAGTACTCTTGGTTTGACCATCATCACAATAGCTAGGGAGGAGTAGATGCAATAGGCATCAATAAACTACAGAAGAACTCAAAATTGATCGCTGCATTTAAGTATTGAATTAATGTTTAAGCTTACCTTTTAAAAGTTCAACGATAATTCCTCTACTGACACTTAATTTAAAGACGATTTGATGTACGTAGATCCTTATTTTCCGTACAATCATTTTTATTTTTCATGGGTGACAGAACAGGGGACAATTTATAAGATAAAATTAATATAGTGTAAAGGTAGGAAAATAGAAATTAGAATTAGTTATACATTCAACATTTGAAGAGTTAGAGAAACATAATTAAGTAAAGATTAAATTATGGAACGCTATATGAATAAATCCGAAATTAGAGCTCAATTCTCCAACGTATTCTGAGATTAAAAGGCCCCGTTCTATAGTAATTTACACACAAAAGACTCAATATCTGTATTATATATTATCTACTTCTAGGCAATATCACTCTTCATGTTTAACTAATTTGCATATTGATTTAAAAAAAGAAGTTCATTAATTAACTGTCCTTCATTATTCTTCTTTTATTCGAGGATTGTTTTGATTTTCATATAAAAATAGTTCTGTTTAGAAATATCGTCTCATATAATGCAGAAAAGTGTTTGAAATTTGCATTTTACTTGGCCTTCAACAAGTTGGCATCTATTTGTAAAACTTTCCTTAACTATAACAAGCCAATTCATGAGTGAAATGTTCATTTAAAATTTTTGTTTCAAAGATTACAAGTAGTGAATATATCTTAGTTTGCGAAGCGATAGCGAGCGGGCGAAGCCTGTTAGTAAATAAATAAAAGAATCTGGATGCAAGAAAATTATCTCCCTTGTTCCATATAATGTATACATGTGTATAATACATGTTATATAACATGCGTGGAAGCGAATTCAGTGATAATTTTTTCAAGATTTTCTCTCGAATGGGTGCTTGCCTAACGAGCCAGGAAAAAAATAAATGAAAAAAGGCTGAAACAAAAAGAAAATATGAAACGAAGCAAGAAAAGAGAATTTAAAAATAAATGAAAGGCCAGTTAATCGAAAAGTATCGGGAGAAAACGGAAAGCAAACAAAAAAAAAGAAAAAAAAAAAGAAAAAAAGAAGAAAACAAGAAACAGAAGAGAGAGAAAAAAAGAAATGAAAGAAAGAAGAAATTAAAGTTCAGCACACTTAAACCGTTTTTTAAGAGTTTCGGTTATGCTTATCCTTTAAGCGCGTCCTAAGTGTCACTTGTGGTTTCTCACAGAGGAAGTGGACAATCATAAAACGACACACACACACACACACACACACGCACACAGACACACGCACACACACACACACACACACACACACGAGGGAAGAGACCGTAAAGTGAGTGAAATCAATACAATGCAAAAAGTTGCAAAGACTTTTGCTACACTTTCAAAGACACAAAATTAAGCAACGGTACTTTTCCATATGCTTTCAATATTTTATTAATTCTCGTCCAATAATTGCATATTATTTTCCTTGGCGTTCTTTTGTTCTTCATTCACGTCCTGTGTCGAGTTCCATCCAATATTTCCCTGATTGCTTTTAAACGTCATT